CCCCAAATGGGCAGTATTTCCCCACGAGGTTCTCCTCCTACTTGCCGCTGCAGATGCTGATGAGCAAGTCCTGTTTTCAGTCATTCATGAGATGCTTTCAGTGTCTTCCAGACGCTATGAAATTGGAGAGACAACAGTCTACTGAGGGGGCCAGAGCAACACTCCCAATACATTTTTGGTGTGGTAGATTTTAATAACCAGAAACCAACAGCTGTTGTTCCTGGGAAGGCTGCACATGGGGCAGGATGAGTGGATATTGTCCTTAATCTAATGGAGAAATGGAACCAATTCTGGGCCTGTTTGTTAAGAGATGCTGAGCACCCCCATGTCTCCCAGGTTTCTGTAGGACCCGCGGTACCCGGCCTTCCTGAAAACCATGCCCTGTATTTATGACTGTATTGCTTTCCACTCCTCTGTCGTTCCCTGTGCAGTGGGTTTTCCTGTTGGGTTTAACAGGAGCCGTAGTTGCCATAGCAGTACTTACCCAATTCTGGGCCTGTTTGTTAAGAGATGCTGAGCACCCCCATGTCTCCCAGGTTTCTGTAGGACCCGCGGTACCCGGCCTTCCTGAAAACCATGCCCTGTATTTATGACTGTATTGCTTTCCACTCCTCTGTCGTTCCCTGTGCAGTGGGTTTTCCTGTTGGGTTTAACAGGAGCCGTAGTTGCCATAGCAGTACTTACTGTACCGCTGGGAATAGTAAGGGGACAGGCATCCTAAGGAGCTCCCGGACCCAACAGAGCCCCTGGAGACAAAGGAGCTGCCGATCTGCAGCGGCTCTGAGGTGCCCACGTAGCTCTCCTGGGGGCAGGAGCTGAGGATGGGTCCTGGGAAGGTGATGACCACTGGGGGTGGGTAGACCACGGCTCTGGAGTCGCCGCAGGACGTGACGCAGGGCTCGTTCCAGGCATTGGCGTACGGCTGAGGGCAGGTCACCTCACAGGGGTTGTAGCAGCGGGAGCTGAGCAGCTGGCGGTTGAAGGACATCTTTCTGCAATGGAGCCAAGCCTGAAACAGCCAAGGTCAAGTGGCATTAATATAAGCATCAAAGAGACAGGACAAAAGTGGGTGTAAAGCACATCTGCAATAAGCAATGACAGCTCTTTGGAAATACAGGGGGAAATGAACTGCACACCGGGCATGATATCTCTTCCCGACATGGGACCGTGCACATGTGTACGCACAACCACAGTCAAACACAGCACACGTCAAACTGGCATCCTGGTATTTTGAACAGTCCAGGCCAGATTTCCAGCTGGTGTAAATATCTGCACCTCCCTGGAAGCAAAGTAATTTAAGGGCGACCTCTGCATCTCCAGGCTGATAAAATCAATGAATCATTGGGCTGGAAGAGACCTCATTAGAGACATCCCTAGGCCAACCGCTTCGCAAATGCAGGATTCGCCAGTCCCAACCCAACCGAAACAGGTAAGTGAGCAGCCTCTATTTGTAACCCTGGGGTGACAGAGATGCCACAGCTTCCCTGGCATTACTGCTGTGGCAGATTTTGTTCTGAGCTTTGTGCTAACCCTGCTTTGCTGCTGTTCAAACATTATCGCATGCCCAGGCTCCATCTGACAAGGGGAAACAATATTTCCACATCAGCTTTACAGTGGCCTGTCAAATATTTTGGCATCAATTTGTTCCTCCTTAATCTTTGTCCAAAGTCTCCATCCTCTATCTCATCTCCAGTGACACAAAGATCATAAGAAATGAACATATATGAAAGTCTTGACTATTTCTGTGTCCCAGACTCAGCTTCTCACGCAGGGTTTCTCACCCGGACACTGGCGTATCCTGGAGAGCTGAGAGGTCCTTTGATGTGAGGAGATCAAACAAGTGCAAGAAGAGAAGCAGGTAAATGCAAGTTAGACACCTCTCTGTCTGGCCCCTCTGCAAGGAGGGAACTTCGTAATAAGTTAGTTGTTTTTCTTTTAATGGATTGCTCCTCGATTCACACAAGTTATGGAGGGGTTGCAATCTAATGAGGGATGCCTGCAGTCTAACGAGGGGTGTCTCAAGTCAACAAGGGCAGCCTGTGTGTAAAAAGTTTGAGATCCACTCTGCTCAAGTCTGTCTTCACCAATTCTCACAACCAAACCCTGGCTTCCTGGCAACAGTACAAAGATTCACAAAGTATTTGTGAGTTTTAGCTGAATGAGAGAGAGAAATTTTAGCAGATATAAAAAGTACCAGAGAGAAGTGAGACTTACTCAGTTAAGCGAGGCGGAGAAGTCCAGAGAAGTGCATGGAGCAGTGCTGGTGGTGAGCACTTTTATATGGTTCATTAGCCTGCCTGGAGCACGCGAGACACCCACAGCACACGTGGCCATTCCTGGTTGCAAAATAACATTTCCTGGCCGTGTCATACCTAACCAGGCATTTTGCATACTGGTTCAAATTATCAGGCAATTTCTCAGCTCTAAATGACGAAACGCACTGGTAGCAGCTGGCACGTGCTACGTGGAGACACCGGCTGGCCGGGTGGTCAAAGCACGGGACTGGACACAGGAAGCTCCTCTTCACTTCCTGCCCCTGCCTCAGATGATGCTGGGTAATCGCATGGGGCAGCTTCTTAGAAGAGCTCAATTCTGAATGGATCCTAGTTCACTGATGGCTTTTTAAGCCCCCGCATCAGCCTCTCACGTGTAGAGACTGATGCCTAGAGCACTGGAAACAGATGTAAGTCACATTATCAGGGTTATTATCATTTCAGTCACATTATAAATAACACCACCGACAAAAAGGAACGGTGCTCAGGTTCCTCACCCAATTCTTGTTATGGAAAAGCCTCAGCCCATGTCTCAATGACCTTTTCCGGTAGTTAGACATAACAACTACCTATCATGATTACCTAACTCACATGCGTGTAGAGACTGATGCCTAGAGCACTGGAAACAGATGTAAGTCACATTATCAAGGTTATTATAATTTAAATCACATTATAAATAACACCACCAACAAAAAGGAACGGTGCTCAGGTTCCTCACCCAATTCTTGTTATGGAAATGCCTCAGCCCATGTCTCAATGACCTTTTCCGGTCGTTAGACATAACAACTACCTATAATAATTACCTAACTCACATGAGCTTCATAAAAAGTATTGGCAATAAAAAGGGGAAGTGCTATTTCCGTGTTAGAGGGAGAAGTCAGAATCTGTACGGGGATTTAAAAACTCAATAGAAAGATCCACAATCCTGAATGAGCTGAGAAGCGCTGACTTGTAGAAGCGCTGAGTGCTCCCAAGTGGGGCTGTAGACACTGGGAGCTGCAACTGCATTTGGCAAATGAGAGAACCAGGCCCTATAGCTCTTCCCCATGCTTTGCTTCACTTCACACTGTGGATCCTGACTTCTGAAGGTTTCACCGCCCTGGGCGCACTAGTCTGTCAGGCGATGCCTGGTTGGAGCAGGAGCTGAATCATTGGCACCAAGGAGGCACCAAACTGGACCAGCAGCTCTGGCACCAGCAAAGCTGGGGTGAATCCCCATGAATCACTGACAACACATCACAGCAGCCTCAGAAATGCAAATGGTCTGCCCCAGGTAATTTTGCTGGGCACATCCAGAGGGGCCAAAGGGGAACACCCAACTGCACGAATACAGCAGTAACACTTGTCCATGCTGTCATCTCGGGATGTTTCATTCTTCCAGGAAACACTTAGAATTTCTTCCTTTATGGGAAACATTTCATCCATCTGGTTTTTACCAGCCCAGCCGCTCAGACCTGACAGCAGCTCAGCCTGTTTCACTGGCAAGACAGATCTCCAGAGAAAAGGACTGCTTGAATAGCCTTCATCCTTGCTCCATCAGCAGTAACTTTAGTTAGCTCCAACTGCACCCCACACAGCCCAGCTCTCTTTGCCAGTACACTGCTAGTAATCACTGGAGTGACAGTTCACCGTGGGGGACAAGGTGGGTGCATGGCACCCTGTCAGTGCCAAGAGAGATGTGGTGTAGGGGCCAGAGGGATTTGGAAAGGACTGCTAGGATATAATGAAGTGCATGATTAGCTTTTTACTTCTGGATATCTTCATGGGCATATCTGTCTCTGGAGAAAACTGTGATGGCACAGCTCAACCTCGTGCAAGTCCTTTGCACGTTGACGGGTGAACTGGAGACGCGCTGTGGACACAGAGCTCCCTATGGACACGGCGTACTGCCAGCTACACAGCAGCACCATTCAGGCTGGGAGGCAGTGGCATACAGATCATACTTCCAATCCCCAGAGATTGATTTACCCCTTCTGACAGGCACTAAGGGCAGCTCCTCGGTGTCCTACTTGGTAAATACCTGAGCTACAGATCTGAGTCAGAAAAACATAATAAAACTCCCCTTGTGACAATTTGAAGGAGGCAGCTATTCTCAAACTGCAAGCTCTCACATCCTTGGGGAACATGCAACACGGGGGAAAAGGGAACATGTTCGAAAGAACCACAGGAAGCATCGAGGGCCTCAGAAACTATTGCTTAGCACTATGCACTTGGGAATGCAATGAAGGGAAGCTCTTGGGAAAGCAATGAAGCAGGAATAGGGACCCTAACTCTTCCTCCTTGAGAGATTTGGCAGCAAGTTTGTTCTTACCCGCACAAACCTGGGGTCTCATATAGCAAGGGTTTATAGTGGCACTGAGTTTAAGTGAAGTGAGGAACCTCTTGTAACCCCAATGTGCAACACAGCTGCGTGAAACAAAGGGACACAAGTCTTTGGAGGAAGAGAGGCCTAGATTTCTTTCTAATGATGCGACTATTCTGTGTTGAATCAGTTTTAAAAAAAACTAACCAAGAATTTGACTCTTTGCTACTGTAACACTGGTGAAGGCAGAGGAATGATACCGGGGGTGACTGGCCAGATCAGGTTTCGGTTGAAAGACTCCTATTAGTCTGTGTCATATTCATGCCACATTCCTTGTGTCTGCAAATAACTCCATAATCAAATTATCATGCAAAACTCACCCCAACTGGGGCAGAGACATATGCATGATATTATTCTCCTGTGATGAAAGGCCCACATGCACAAAGGATGTCTCAGTGGCTCCAGGCAGTCCAAGGAAACATATAAAAGCACTTGCAGCTCAGAGCTCTTCTAGTCACTCTCCTGCGATTCTCCTCCTGGGTGAACCAAGTAAGTCTGTTTTCACTCTATATTTTTCAACCTTTTAAAATGTTGCTGAAGGAGCTTCAAAACTGAGACTTGCATTGGTACTTTGGGACTTGTTCTGTTGTTGAACAGAGGCTGTTTTCATAGGAGATCATTTTAACCATTTTCATTCCAGACATTGACGGGTGCAGGTTTTAGACGTTAAGGGATTTGAAGATCTACCTAAGGGGTTGGGATTGCCAATTCCTATTAAAGTAAGATGGACATAGATAATGCAAAATATGGACAGGTTCCAAAAATGTACCAATGCCCCCTGCCTCCCCCCCCCCAGCATCATCTCAAATATAATGGGATATCATAAAGAAAACTATAGTTTTATAGGGCTCATATCTGCACTGATTTGAGGAGAGCATCTTCATCTCCACCGGATGGGGAGGGCTGGAATTATTTCACATGTAGAGATCATGTGCCCCAAACTGAATTTAGCTTTACGCATATTAAAGTTGAGTTCACGGGGTGCACATTCTCACCACTGCTGGCCAGCAACACTGCAACTCCTGGGACTTCCTCGCTTCTGGCTCTTTCTCAAAGTCCCCAAATGACCCTGAACCAATTGCTGCCTGTCTGTGTCTTAGCGTCTGCACTCAATAGCAGCACATGCACTGGCGCTTGTTTTCAGGAGATTGGGCTATATGGGGCAGCAGAGCGTGAAGCAGGTTCATCACTATTAGGTGGCCTTGGTACACAATTTTCAAGTCATCAAAGAAAGAGTGAGGTGAGGTTCAAAAGAAATGCCTGCAATGCCAAACTCTCTCTCTTCCTATCCATCTAGACCTTCATGCAGGACCCTTGGAGGCTCCTACTGCACTCTCTCTTGAGCATTGCATTTATCCTGTCTTTTCCAGGTGCAGCTGAATTGCAGAAAGATGTCCTTCAACCGCCAGCTGCTCAGCTCCCGCTGCTACAACCCCTGTGAGGTGACCTGCCCTCAGCCATACGCCAATGCCTGGAACGAGCCCTGCGTCACGTCCTGCGGTGACTCCAGAGCCGTGGTCTACCCACCCCCAGTGGTCATCACCTTCCCAGGACCCATCCTCAGCTCCTGCCCCCAGGAGAGCTACGTGGGCACCTCAGAGCCGCTCCAGATCGGCAGCTCCTTTCTCTCCAGGGGCTCTGTTGGGTCCGGGAGCTCCTTAGGATGCCTGTCCCCTTACTATTCCCAGCGGTACAATAAGTACCGCTATGACAACTGCGGGTCCTGTTAAACCCAGCAGGAAAACCCACAGCACAGGGAACAACGGAGGAGTGGAAAGCAATATAGTCATATATACAGGGCATGGTTTTCAGGAAGGCCGGGTACTCCGTGTCCTACAAAAACCTGGGAGACATGGAGGTGCTCAGCACC